TGGGTCCCTGGGTAGACAAAATGAGGTAGCAAATCATGCTCTAGTGTTTTTGGTACAAGATATTAGTAAACATTGGAAGCAACCTATCGTGAATTATTTCACAAAAGATGATATAAAAACAAAGGACCTACAAATTTTGTTAACTGAAATAATTTCAGCATTGCAGTGTTGTGGATTAAAAATAATTTGTACAGTTTGTGATCAAGGTTCCACTAACAGATCAGCTATCAGACAGTTAGTTTCTGAGTCATCAAATAAATCCACTTTTAATGTTAATGGCGAGGAAATTATTCCCATTTTTGACGTTCCTCATTTGCTTAAAAATACCAGAAATGCTTTATATAACAATAATATTAAATTTTCGCATAATAAAACAGCAAAATTCAGCCACATAGTAAAATGTTATGAAATTGATAAATCTAGACGCTTCCAAGGTTTACGAAAGATACATGACCATTATTTCGAATTAAATCGTAGTAATGTTAAAATGAAAGTAAAAATTCCAGCACAAACGTTAAGTGCATCTGTAGCTCATGAAGTTGAGGCAATGGTGAGTAATCCCACTACTGGCATACCTGCCGAGGCTATTCATACAGCAGAGTTTGCGAATGATATTAATAATCTTTTTGATAGTTTAAATTCTCATATCATTCAGTTAAATAATTGCAATTTTTTAGTCATTTATTACTAAGAAATCAGCACATATTACATTTTGGAATGATATGTTGGAAGAAATTCAGTCTTGGCAATTTCAGTCTCATAAAGACAACAAAGTAAAAAATGTACATCCCGTAAAGTGTTAAAACATAATTAAAGTGTTTCAGAAGTAATAGGTCATGGAACAGCTGTTAATGGTTCACGTTAATTTTAATTGTTAACTTCAACTATTAGTAGCTGTTTTGTGATCTATTACTTATGAAATACTTTTTATTCTATTTTATTACATTTAAATTTACCGCCATTATGATGTAGCGACATCTATTAGATAGTAGAATTAGAGGTTACTCTAATTGTGTTTTCCCATGCAGTTTCCTTAATTATTTTATGGTCTGTGTGTGTCGTTTCACTACACATCAGCGACAGATGGCGTACTCTGCCGCTGCTGCCGGCAGAAGACACAGAAAAAAATCCTCTTATTTAGTTACTCTTATGCTGATAGGCATTTTTTTTTAGCGGGTACCAACGGCGATATTGGTATTTCTGAGATTTTGTGTGTCAGAGGCGTGCTAATAGATATTTTATCGTGTACGAACGGTGTTACTGGTGGCATTCTACATGTCATTGGCGTACTGACGGATATTTATACCGGCAGCGTCGTTGGTATTTTGTAAATTCTTTATTTTCATAGGCTAATAATTAGGAGAGTAATAATAAAAAAAATCTTTTTAGGCGACAGCACAATGATGAATCACCAGGAGATAATGGAGTTGTATCTATGTGATGATCAACTGCCTATGGATGAGAAGGTGAACCCTGGGGCAGCGGCACTAGGAACACCACGGGGAAAATCCTCGATGCAGGCAGACGTGTCAGGCGGCGACCTGGCAAGTGCGCCGGTACAGGATCTGGTGAAGGCATTATTGGCGGGCGGCCTTACTACTACAATCCAGGAGATAGCCAAACAGCAGGCGGCCCTGGTGGTAGGCGATGTATCGGAGGCGATAGCGGCGACTTCCAGGCACAGCGAGGTTTTGGGGGGTGGTCGTGAGTCCGGCAGACTGAAAAGGCATTCCCTGATGCTAGGCCATGAAGAAGTGGATTGGTTCGATCCAGATGATCCGGATACCAACATCGAGCATTGGCTCCGGAAAATCGACCATCTGGGGATGATCCGTGGCTGGACCAATTATGAACGGGCAACGTTAGCACAAGCGAATCTGGCGGGCACAGCGAGGCGGTGGTTTTACCAACTAGAGGATAATGATCTTACCTGGGACGAGTGGAAGGAGAAGTTAAGGGCGACGTTTCCCCGGCGTATGGATTATGCAGATATGCTAGAAGACATGATAGGGAGGCATAAGCTCACGGATGAAAGCATGACGACCTACTACCATGCGAAACTAGCGTTGTGTCATCGGGTGAGGATCACCGGCAAGGATGCGGTCTCTTGCATCATCAAGGGGTTACCGACAGAGTTGAGGGCCAATGCACGGGCAGTGAGGTGCCCCACCCCTGAAATCCTCTACAACAGCTTCCTGGCGGGACTGGAGAGCTGCCACGGCGAGAGTGCTCCCAGACGAATGGCGTCGAGAATGCAAGTACCTGAGAGGCAGGCGAGTATCCCTCAACAAGGTACCTCCACGGCGAGGGGGTTAAAGAGGTGCTACAATTGCCAGCGCTTCACTGATCACGTCAGCAGAGATTGTCCCCGACCGGCGGCTGACAGGTGTAGATCCTGTGGAAAAGTGGGACATAAGGCGTCCAACTGTCTCAAGAGGCGTGTCCAAGGCGGCAGCGGCAATGGCGCAACCAGACCGGCAAAGGTTTTTTTCACTGTTTAATCCGGTGAATAAATGTTTCAGGCAGGTGGCGTATGTTAATGGGGAGAGCGAACTCAGCGGCTAAGGAATCACTCGTGGACAACAGCCGGCAGATTTCAGTGATGGACAAATACACAAAAACCGAGCCAAGGCGATGACTAACAAAAATAGGCGGGGCGCGAATAGAGGCGATAAAGGGCGTAAGGGACTATAAGCTGTTTATGGCGGTAGTTGCTGTAGATTTCCTGAGGCGTTATCATGGCGTGAATGATGTGGAGTATGAATCGGAGGAAAATGGCGGAAGTGGCAGAAGTGGCGAAAGTGAGGGCGAGTGGATTTAGTGAATTTGGCGTGTAACTCTTCTGACGAAATAGGCGTTTAATTCGTCGTGATTAGTACAACGTATGATGACGTTGTTGCAGGACAGCAGACTGTTATGCAAATTTGGAGTGTGAGGCAGGAAAAGACCAGCGCGGTAGAGACAAAGCGGGCCTCAGGCGTACGAGGCACAGAAAAGGAGTAGAAGGGACACGGCAGGTGTTATTGTTGTATTGTTGCGAAATTAATGAATAAAGGCGTTTCTAGTGAATGTGTCTTTCCTTCTAACAGTCGAAAAATAAGTGTAACAGTATGTTTAAAATTGACCTCCGTATTTCTAGATCAACAGAGGTGCTACTGATTACGAAGAAATACGCAATTTGATTTTGTAATGCTTTAAATAAAATAAAAAAATGTCTCACTTACATAATGCTTTTCAGGCTTGTTTACCAAAACTTTTGCATCGAAAATCATGTATAAAATCTTTAAAATGTATACTTATCTATGGAACTTTTTCCTTGCTAATTCAAATAAAGAAAAAAAATTTAAGAATTCTGGGTAACATCGGCGGCAAAGCTGCTTTTAACAAATTTTCATTTTAAATTAAATTTTTATGTTCCTAATCTTTTTAAGTACTTTTTCACAAAAAAAACTATCAATAGTTCCACACAGTAAAGTACCGCTGTTTAAAATATATACAGGGTGGGCCTTTAGTGTGAGAAAGTAAAATAGCTCCCTTGTTATAATACAGAAAAAAAGTATATATAAAAGTTATACAGAATCAAGAAACCTAAACTACAAAATTAATTTGCTGCATACAGGGTGATGAGTAAGAACGGGACACTCCAAATAGTTTTTCCACAAATGTTGCTATATCTAAAAAACTAACAACTTTAGGTGTACAACATAAAAAGTTGAAGTGGACTGATATGTGAATAAAATAGAACAATAAAATACAGGGTCCTCCATTTGAAAAATTTTAGAAAATCAAGTTTGAACTTTCTTAAACTGATTGTAAATGCCCTGTACAAAATATCGATATTAGCTAATATAGGAGTCTTTGCTTAACATTTGCCTATAACTCTGTCAAATATTTTTGCTCCAAGTGTTAATAGTTGAAAGTTAATACAACTTCTTCGAGGTCATGTTTTTTCCAAAATTCCAAGAATTTTCTACATCACTTGGCAACACCGCACTAAAATGTTAAACTCTTTATATTGCCATATATAGAATTTACTCAGAAATCCATAGGTTTAAAAATATACAGTGTTCCATTTAAATAATGTACCCTGTATATATCAAATTAATTTTGTCCGTTAGGTTTTTGATTCTGTACACCTTTTATATATTTTTTTCTGTATTACGAATAACAACGGAGTTATTTTACTTTCTCATACTAATGGCACACCCTGTATATACCTATTTAAGATTCACCCTGTACAATTCATATCCAATGGAGTCTGAACGATAAATTTTTTCATGTCAAAATAGCAGTCTATCCCATTAGGAGCGTACTCCTTGAGCTTCTGCCTTACATTGCCCATTTTATAATTTATGAAATAGTCGAATTCTAAATCCTCCACTAACCACTTCCCCTATATCCGTCTGATCCCACCACGCCGATGACCTTGTACCCTTTGATTTTCGCTATTTACCCTACGACCACTGTGCCTACGACTCTGCCTACGGCCCTTCCTGTCACGACGACAGCTTCTATTCTATGGGTTTCAGAGGTGGCATAATTCCAGCAGCCCGAAGTAGGTGTTGTTAAAAATGAACAAAAATTACTTTAAGTAATGGAATTTAATTTACCAGGTATCTTAAACTCAAAAAATCAGTCAATTTCTCTCGAAAAAGTCGGCTAAAATTTATTTTTTGACAGTTTCCACATCGATCGATGAATTATTAGAATTGTTAAAATAAAGATTAAAAATAATTAAATTTGCTTTTGTTATTGAGTTTATTCTCTCTTCTTGTCACCAATTGTTTTTACTGTTACTAGTGCTACGTCTATTTTTAATTTTTACCATTTTCCCAATTAATCACAGTGATAATGACGTGTACAGGCTGTTTTAAATTTCAAAGACAAAATAACAAAAATGAAATTGCAATTAGGATGTCAATCATTTAATAAAACATCAAAATCAGATTGGGTCTTTGCAAGAAATTCATTGAAATTGAGGCATTAATTAATAATTAAAAAATTAAACTAGCTAAATATTATACGTATACATATATTTTAAACAAAATAAGGTACAGTTTATTATATAAAACGTGGTAATATAAACATTAAAATAAAAATGCAAGTCATTTTAATTAAAAACTTATTGAGAACTACTGACTACAAAATGCGTCTCTCTTATCACGTAGGGGCGTACAATCCAAGACATGGATATACAATACACAATACACACACGCCTCTACGTGATAATAGGGACGAAATGTGTGCTCGGAGCTCGGAAGACTATGCAGTGTTGCCAGCGTTATTCGAAGCGCTTAAACTCTAACATTTTTTTGAACAATCATCAAAATAATTTGAAATATGTTCATAAAAATACTAACAGTGTTCCCGATATTCAGAACTACCTTTTAAACCCAATGTCCAATTGTTCACATGATTTTCAAATGTTGTATGTGATTTGTGTTAAAAATCATTGCTTTGAAAATTAATGAATAGTATTTTGTTTCAAGCATACTTGTACCAAATAAAAAAACGTGTGTATTACCACTTCATTAATTAATATTCTGTAGTTAAAGGTTATGTTATGTCTTTACTTTACTATGAAGTGTTGACGTTGACTTTTGTTATGTACATGTGGATAGGAAGATTAGGACAACTGGATCATAGGATTTCTTTGTTAAATTTATTTTTTGGATAATCTAATAGATATGTTTTTAAATAGTGCAATTTTAAACTTTGTGATGGTCTTTTATTTGCTGAAATTAATATTTCAATCGTTTGCGGTTTTCTTTATTATGAACATAAAAATTGTATGTTCATGTCAACTCATTTAATATGGGTTGAGAATACTGCATAGTTTAATTTTGATACACTTTTAAACCTAGTTACTATTTTTTGTATTATTAGAATTCATTACAGTTGAGGTCTTGTTCTAAATAATTTTCTTGTCACATGACTTAGCATACCTGCAATTCGTTGATGCTCGCTCATAAATGACTGCTTCTTATGTAAAAGAGCAGTCCCCAAATTATACCTACCTCTAGGAGAATGTAGAAAATATTGGCAACTTAAGTTTAGAACTCAAAAAACAAGACAAGCGTAAAATATTAATATTAAAATTAATTTATAGCAGATATATACAAATAAATAAATACTGATCCTCTGACATCTTCGTCAAGTTTATTTAATTTAGAATCACATACATAAACAAGTTACAAAACCTCGTAAACGAAACCTAAAAATAAGTATATTTAAATCATAAGTTCAGGAAAATGTGTGCAAAATTTCAATTGAATATTTCAAAAAACTTCAAAATTGCAAATTACAATTGAAATTGTAATTTTCCCAATATATATATATATATACTGGGAAACTGATTAAACAATTAAAATTAAAAAAATCTCCAGGTCATGATGGAATTCGCGCAGAAACATTAAAGCAAATATCAGATGAAATTGCTGTTCCATTAACTTTTATAATAAATAGTTGTTTTGAAGCTGGTTGTTTTCCAAACATATTAAAAATTGGTATTATCAAACCTCTATTTAAAGGTGGAGACAAAATGGACGTCATTAATTATAGACCTGTGTCTTTAATCTCTAATATAGCTAAGATTTTTGAAAAAATTATAAAAAAGCGAATATTAAAATTCTTGGAAAAATATAAATTGATTTCAGATCAGCAGTATGGTTTCAGAGAGGGAAAATCAACGGAAGATGCCATTTATAAGTTAACATCGTATATCTATAGCGCTCTTGATAAAAAGAAACCTGCATTGTGCATCTTCGTTGACCTCTCCAAGGCATTCGATACCGTTAGCCATAAAATCCTCCTAGAAAAATTTATGTATTATGGACTTAGAGGNAAAAAAGTTAACTGTCATTAGACTTTGACAATAGCTTTTCCGAAATTTACGCCATTAAACATATCAATGAAGGCTTTAGGCATGTTTTCAAAACCCTCTGTCACAGTCTCGCGATATTTTAACTTTCCTTCTTGTATCCAAGTTTTGTTTTGTTCGATACCTTCAAACCATCTCTTTATCCATCTGTTGACTAGGAAGCCTCTCATTTTTAACTCATGCCCCACTAACAGCAACTGAACAATGGATGCTAAAAAATTATAACGGATGTTGAAAAATAACAGTTACATCTAAATACAAAGATTAAGAAACAAATCAATAATACGTAAGTATGAAAATAATATAATTACAAACAAAATTTAAAGTCAAGGGGTATCTTAAAAACCAACTAACTATTAAATGGAGGTTACAATTTTAACTGTTTTTCTATAAATTCTAAAAGAGAAACTATGAAAAATTATTTCTAGATTTGTGCCCAACATCTTACCTTTTGGGGTACTTTTCTCATTAGATGCAGATATAGCTCCACATACTGAAATCCTTCCAAACGTATTCATGGAGGACATGATAGTATTACTTATCTCTCCACCTACCTGAAAATCTTACAATAAATACACGCAGGACTTTTCTGCTGTGTGTCCTTCTAAGATACGTTTTTTTTATCTAGAAAAATTGTTCGTGGTATTTTTGGTAAAATAATTTCTTAAAAAGCATAAAAAAGGCACAAAATTGTATATTTTACAGCAGGATTTGAAAATGCCGTTTTAAATTTCGAAATAACTATTACTAATATGATCTACACAGTAAACTGCTTTTTGAAATATACAGGGTGATTCAGAACTGATCTAAAAAATAATTTCGACGTACAGGGCTCTTACAAATACAATTTTGTAAAGAAAAAATCAAAAACCGCAGTTCCAAAATGATTTAAAAATACACTCCAGCACGGCACTGGAAACTGGTCCACTTGACCTCTCACAATGCGACCAGCATGGTGGCAAAGTGTGATAAAAACGAACAAAAACTTTCGCAAGGAAATAAATAAATTGAATTTTATAGTACCTATTTTATATCGGCAAATTCAACTGCTTTAGCCGTCATTGTTATTATTAATTAATAAAATTAGTTTGTGGTTTTAAATAATAAAATAAAATATCTGATGTTACAACAACAGTTCAAAATTTTATGCACCGACGTGTAAACACAAATATTATCTTGCTTCACCATAATACAAATGTTGTCTTGCTTCACCAAAATTAAAACGATATCCATCAACTCCGAGTTGCTATACACGCAAGCCATTTTTGACACTAACTACTAAAAAACTATTGTAAACACCACCACAGTAAACACTATTGCAACGACGACGATTGTAAAATGGAATTTCAGTATTCGGAGTCGCTGAGTCACGTGGCTATCCACGCGTATTGCGAATGACGCTAGAGACTACAGTGTCCAGCTATGTAAAGGTTGAATGTACTACAACTTCAATTTTTTTTTTCTCGGAAACTATAAGGATTTTACAAAAATTTCTTTTACAATATTGACTCCATTTCTCACACATCTATTCCCAAATTTTTTTGGATAAGTTATGAATCACCTTGTATGTATCCGTTCAAGATTCGCCTTGTATAATTCATATCCAATGGCGTCTGAACCATAAATTCATACTTACGTTGTCAAAATAACAATCTACCCCATTAGGTGCGTACTCCTTGAGCTTCTGCCTTACATCGTCCGTTTTATAATTGATGAAATGGTCGAATCCTAAATCCTCCATTAACCACTTTCCCTTTTCGTCTGATCCCGCCACGCCGATGACCTTGCACCCCTTGATTTTCGCTATTTGTCCCACGGTGCTGCCTACTGCCCCGCCCGCTCCCGTCACGACGACGGTTTCACCGGGTTTAGGCTGACATAATTCCAGCAGCCCAAAGTGGGCGGTGTTGCTAAAAATGAACAAAAATTACTTTGGGTAATTGGAGTTGTTCGATTTACGCCTACTACTTCTTTTAACTGAAGGTACTTCTATCTGAAACACCCTGTATAGTAACGATCTAATAATATTATCAGGGAGACTCATAGACCTCATAAGCTACTACTAGGTCTATGGAATTAGATATAGTTTTTAATATAAAAATATAAAATAAATATTATATTTTGTTTTTAAGAATTTATTAAATAAAAATAATTGATCATCCAACTCCTCAGCAGTTTGGTCAAGTTTTCCGACTATATTGCTGTGACATTTTGATTAAGCCTCCAAAAGACTCTAATGTCACTGGAGTTGAGTCACTTTTATCCAGACTCTTATAAGAACAAAATACTCTTTAGGAACGTCTCATTCACCTCGAATCGAGTGGTTGGGAAAACAATGTCAATAACAGTGCTGACAATATGGAAAATTTGAGTGATGTCGCTAATGTACCATCAGATAATTTAGACTATGAACTAGGGTTGCCAACCGTCCTCCAACCAGGAGGACAGTCCTCCTTTGGATCAAAATGTTCTCCGTCCTCCGCAGGTACGTCGGAGGACGCAATTTGTCCTCCTTTACACTAAAATGTTCTAAAATTCCAAAAATACGAAAAAAATTTAGATTTTATTTATTGGCGCACAACCTGGCAACGTTGAATGATCACGACAGCGATCTACCATTTTCAATTGGCATGGTTACAAAACTAGTCAAAATTAGTCATTCATTTTTCAAAATATAACGGGGCTCGAAAATGTATTCATTCTGATTTATTTTGCTCTAAGCATTCCTGCCATTTCTGCGCTTCCTGAGCTAATTTTTTCTTTAATGAATATTAAGTGGCGGGATGAAAGAAATAAAGCCTTGTTGGATTTAATAAAATCAAAACTAATTGTCTCTGCTAATTCCGAAAGCAGTTTTTTGATATTATTAAATCAGATGAAAAATTTTTGGATGCAGTTAAAAGCAAAAAAAATATAAGTT